GCGGAGGCAGCAGTGTGGAGGGGCAGAGGGCACTTCAGGAGGGGGGCCAGAGCACACTGGCTGCCAACCCCGCCTCCAGGAAATAGAGAATAATCGAGTAGCCAATAAGAATTCATGAGGTGAATCGACGATTCAATTAACCGATTTTGGACATCCCGAGTCCTTACCTCAGTGTCACAGAACATGCACTAGAGAACCCCCATCCTGCCCCAGCACAGCTGTCAGCAGCAGTGCAGATGGTGAAGCAGGGCTTAGAGAGTACAGATACACCAGCCCCGTAGGGTACGTGCCCTACGCAGCTCTCCACACGCCTACACAGCACCTCACTCACCTACCCAGGTATTTTTAGCAGGGCAGTGTCCTATTGCCGGAGCCCTTCCATGCCACAGGGTAAGACTCCAGAAGCTTCCCCCTGGCCAAAGCCTTTTACTGCCACATATAGTGACTCACTGCAGTGCGACTGTAGCCTGTTTTCCCTGTGGTGTGTAGCTACACTCGTACTGTCTGTGCCCCACACTGCTGCGGTGTAGCTAGGCCAGAGTCAGAAAACTGTCACTGGGAGCAAGGGGGAGGGGCACACACCAGCCATGTGCGGAAGCAACCATTGCATTCCGGTGGGCCGACTTCTCGCCATTGCTCTTCCCTCCGTATCTCCCCCTGACTCCTGTTTACACCCCAGAGGAACACTCGGTGCTGTAGGAATGTGAAGCCCAGAGCTCCCCGAGGGTTGAACCATTCACGGATTGACTGAGCATGCTCACCGTGTGTGTGAAATGCAGGAACAGCACCAGGAACAGAGCCACGATGGTGATGGCACCAAGGAGCAAACGCACTCTAAATATGGCGAATTCGGCTTGGGACGTGCTCCCGGCCCCCAGAGGTGCTGAGCCTGAACAATGTAATTGGAAACAGAGGGTTAATATTTGAGATTCTGCACTGGCTGGTCACTAGTGCCAGCAGGGGCTTTTCTGCTGGGGAATTTAGAATGCTTTTGCTGAGTGTTGTGTATGGGTGTGATTGGGGTTTCCTAGGGGCTGTAAGTACCCGCAGCTCTTTGCTTTCCCAGGGCTGAGAAGTACGAGGTAAGGAAACAGTGGGGGATGTGAATGTGCGGTTCAGGGATTCCAATAACCTGCTTCCATGAAAGCTAGTGGGATTTGGGTGGGGTCCAAAATCTACGACTGGAAATGGAGCTGGCGCCTTTTCAGGAGATGAATCCAGAATTGAGCCTTTGTTCCAAGCTTCACAACAGGGTCAGTGGGATTTCTCGCTATCCTGCTGTGGGCAGACTGTCACTGCTGCCCTGGTGTGGGCAGTGGGGATCAGACTCTTGCCTGGCTTCCTGAGCTCACTGACTGTCCCTATTGCTGATGCTGGGAGCTGGGTCAATCGGCGACATGATCTGTATTATCCTGTGTTGAGCAGAGGCCTTGGGGCCGAGCTGATCGCTGGTCACATACTCACCCGCATCTGTGTTTGCATGGCTCACGGGTGGTTCAGACACGGTCACTGTGATGTTTCTAGCTTGTCGCGATCCACTGAAGGTGAGGCTGTAGACACCGCTGTCGCTGAGCTGCAGGTTCCGAAGGAGCAGAGAAGCGTTTTCAGGGAGAAGCTCAGCCCGGCCTTGGTAAGCGGGATGTGTAAAATGATCCCCAGAGCAGTGGGTGGGGATCCCCTCAGCACCGACAAAGCAGTTAGTCACAGTGTAGCTGACAAGTGGATTAAGGGTGTTACCGAAGTACCACTGAATGCCCAGCGGAGAGGGAAATGGCCCCGGCTGGAGCCGGTAGGAGACGGGCAGGAGGACAGGCTGGCCG